TTCGCAGAAACATGAATATAAAAGTTTAAGGTTAGCCAGGAGTAAAAAGGCTAATAGTGAAGTGAACCTGCAACGTAGAGCTTCATCAACTAAAGAAATAAGGACTGACGCAGGCGAAAGAGGTATTGGATGATGCATAATTCAGGACAAACAACGTCATTTAAAAAATACATTGGAATAATCCATTGAAAAAGCAGCATGAGTGTTTCAAACATGATCCAAATTAGTCAAACTGTGTCACAAGTGACTATCATATGAATTGTACAGAATAATCAAGCATAGGTATTATAGGAGTTTACTTCGTTTAAAATGTTATGTTTGTGGCTAAATATCAGAAAGTCGATAACACTTGGAAGTAATGTTATTAATTTGTTATCCGCATCAATTACAAGTGTTTGCACTCGTATGAAAGCTACAAATGATGCACTTTCAGAAAAGCAACTACCATGGATGTAAAAATAAAAATTTTTTGCGTTAAGCCGTTTAAACCTATGTAAAATGACCTCCTTCAACAAATGAATGTATAAAAAATATGACATATGCTGCTTATTATTCGCGTTAAACTGGACAAAAATACGTCAAAAGTCGCGTGACGGTACCCTGAATACGAGTAATTAGCAACGGAAAAGCTGGGGCTACAGTATCAATAGATCTTTTTAGAATTTTCTTTATTTTTCAATAAATTTTACTGCATTGACTCCCCTGAACTAATAAAATTTTCAAAATGCGCCGTCTTAAAAATATATATCCACGTATGATTTCCAAGCTCCGGCATTTAGAGACAAATCATTCAATTTTTGACGACAATCTGTAGCGAATCGATGAGACTTTTTTCTGATTTGCACATGATATGAATTATATATTGTAATTATATAAAGCTAGGAGGGAGGTAGGAAAAATAGGGGAAAAATAAAGAAACTCGTATAAAAAAATAAAAAAGGGCTTCTAGAGTCGGTAGTTTTTCTTTTCATATGCCGAATAATGTGTTTCTCGTTGTAGCATGAAAATTGAATGAGATAGGTTTATAATAGGCCCCATTTTTGCCGTTTAATTGCATTTCTAACTTTTTTGCCGGTAATTTCGAAAAATTCACATGAGTAAATTGTCTTTCTTTTGGTGATTGACGTATGCATACGAACTTTTAGGACGATCGGTTATTTAGATTAGGCGATCATTTTTAGAGCTTTGCAATATATTTTTCTCTGATTTCGTTCCAATAGCAGTTCCAAAAATCAATTCTTTTCGTGATGCTCCACCGCCGGCGGTTAAATAATATGGGGCGATACAATAAAAAAAAATACGAATTTCACCGAAAGTTGATTTCAGATGCCATTATATGTATTCATAATTCGAAATTCAAGCGGGCAACAAAAATATAAATGAAAAATATTTTATTTGTTTGGCCTGAATTCTTGAATTTTTTGGCAACGGCTGAGAAGCCTAAATCTTCCTTGAGAAATAAGAGCCGTCGAAGGAAATTTCCTAAATTCATAAAAATTCGTGCGGCATTAGAGTGACAGAAATTGGACATAAACTAGGCTGTGGGACTACAGAGGGCCAATTATTATAGCTTTTATAAAAGCTTAAAATATTATATCATAATAATAATAAAAATAATATTAACAATAATAATGATAATAATAATAATAATAACAATAAAAGTAGTAATAATAATAATAACAATAACAATAATAATAATAATAATAGTGATAGTAATATTAATAGTATTATTATAATTATTTTCTTTTAATATTATAACACTATAAATATGCACGTTTACGAAATTTGTGCTCTCTGTTTAGATTATTTGTGTTTGTCAACCATATACACTACACTACTCACGGTCTCACAAAATTTCGGAGCAGAAGAAGATAAAGCATTAATCTTGATGGAGGCCGCACAGACTCGCCCTAAGCAGCGTCTAATGAACAAGGTAGGAGCCTAGCCAGGCTCCCAGCGATCAGCTGATCTAACTTATAGCAAAACTTTCCAGAGGGAGAAGGACCATGCCAGCTGCAGGGCAAACGTGTGCGTCTCGTGTGGCAAAATCCTGGGGCCATACTTTCAAAACTCGCTAAGTGAACGTAAGTACTTACGCACTATTTTCTTGTCTATGATTGGTGGATTTGGCTCGAAAGCCGTCAATGATTGGCGGATGAACTTACGATCTCTTAACTTTTCTTGAAAGTATAGGCCCTGAATGGTAAGCATTTAATTAATAGTAAATGCCATTTAATGTTCTCTAGTGAAAAAAGAAAGTAATTATATTATTTAAGGAAAAATGGCGAGTTTATTTTGAAAATCCATAGCTGAGAAATAGCTTCATTATCTGTTCATTTTCGAATTTCAATGAAACCATCCCGGCCTGAGCGCTCACAGCGGAATTGAACGAGCAAAATTATTTTCACGATACTGGGGAAGGCAATTCAGCAACTCAGCCAGTAGCTCTTAATGTTTCTGCTGGTCCAAAGTAAAGGTCATTCTGGAAAATGTAGACTTTAACCTTGAATACAGAGCGTCATTAATGCAGATAGCTTGAGATAAAGATTTCTGTTGATGCAGACAGCTGTTGATGCAGATAGCTGTTGATGCAGATAGCTGTTGATGCAGATAGCTGTTGATGCAGATAGCTGTTGATGCAGATAGCTGCTGATGCAGATAGCTGTTGATGCAGACAGCTGTTGATGCAGACAGCTGTTGATGCAGATAGCTGTTGATGCAGATAGCTGTTGATGCAGATAGCTGTTGATGCAGACAGCTGTTAATACAGATAGCTGCTGATGCAGATAGCTGTTGATGCAGACAGCTGTTGATGCAGATAGCTGTTGATGCAGACAGCCGTGGATACTGATTGCTGTCCTATACTGTACGATGAAAAAACTTACAGTCAAGTCTAATATACAGTACACAATTGCAACTGCGGGAACAACGAATAAAATGTATTTAATTAAAAAACAATAACGTCGATTTTGATGAGACGAGACACAATAATAGCATATAATGAATATGATATACGTAGATAATAAAAATATATAGTGGCTTTGGTCGGCAGGGTTCATCATAGGGAAGCTCTGCAATATCTTCCTGTCTCGCAGCTGAGGAAACTGGCTGCCAATAGACGATTTTTCCTAAGAAAATGAGCCAACATCTTTCTTTGTGAGACGTTCATCAGGATCTGTTATGACATGTTCAGTCTATTTCTAGTTAGCAATAATAAAAACTGAGTTAATAACATTCTAAAAATCAGTAAAATTATTTATTATTTATATCTATATTGACGAAAAAAGACAGATTTAGTTAAAATTAATCAAAATAAAAGTAATTTCTTTTTCTACGTCGCGTAGGCAACCACAACATGATTATGTATCTGGCAGCTGGAATATTGCATGAAGGAAACATATAAAATTAAAACCAATATTTTCTTAAATAACCCGAAAACAAAAAATCTAACACAACGCTCACGCCTGATATCCGAGAACGGAAAAGCGCAAATATTATAATAAAATCAACGTACATTCCTTAGTGCATCCGGTATTGCTGATGTTTTCATTGACTTTGTTATTGGTCGTTTTGCTTTTGCGATGCCAGGTCGTGTTGTGCTGGTGAAGGCAGCAATTTGCAATGCATGTGCCTGAGAATAGCCTGAATATTTAGAGGCCTTCCGACAGACGAAGCAATCTTGCCTTATTCGGTGCTCTGCGTTTGATCCAACAAAAGCGTAGGAGGGAACCTCGGTTGAACTAATTCTCTACCACCGATGCTTGTGAAATTTTTTTGTGATTAGTGGATTATAATTTTTAGTGGATTATTATATAAACAAAACACAGGAAAAGTTCACAGTGAAGATTTGAGATGAATTGCACGTGCTGAATTTAACGTCAGCGAAACGGATATACTTGTTTCTTGTTTGAATGGTCTGAATAGCCTTTTAATGACTTTAATCTGAAAACTTTTCATTATTTTTCACCGTTCCACTGCCACAAGCGATCACAACTCAAATTTTGCCAAGAAATCTCTCGAATTTTTATCAACTCAGATTTTTTTGCCGAAAAATTTGACCATGGCGTTCCGTCAAGCAGTAGCCTCTGATATTATAAACGATGATCATTAAGTGGCCTACGAATAAAGCAGCCTCCCCTCGCCCCATAATTTCAAAATAAATGTGAGAGTCTAGCCGATAAATGTTGTCATTGGTCCATGTTCGTGTTCCCCGATCTTTAAAAAATGCTTAGTTTCAAATTCACAATTCAAAGCATATCTTGAATCACCTGCAATTTACGACTTAACTCCACTAAGTGACAGAACCCAATCCTCAGGACCATAGTATCTCAAACTAAAATCTCGTCTCCTAAGAAACAATACCAATGACCCCGAAAACCTCACCTACTTGCTTCTCTCATAGTCACATAACTCCAAACCGACTCCACATTCCGAATTCTTAATTAGTACCATAACCTCACAGCATCCTGATACACCACATAGTATTGGAACCAGAACATCGAGCCCTCACTCCCAAGATCCCAACGCTGCAGGTCTTTTAGATGTTTTAAGGGGACTTTCTATTTTCGGGATTTAGAGAGGGATCGTCAATTCCAAGGGGGATCGTCCTCCAAAATGGGATCGTCACCCTTGAGGGGATTATCCTCCTAGAGGGGATTGTATTACTAGAGGGGATCGGCCTTCTACAGGGTATATATCGGCCTCCTAGAGGGTATCGCCCTCCTAGAGGGGGTCGGCCTTCCAGAGGGTATATATCGGCCTCTTAGAGGGGGCCGGCCTCCTAGAGGGGATCGTCCTCCTAGAGGGGATCGGCCTCCTGGAGGGGATCGTCCTCCTAGAGGGTATCGTCCTCCTAGAGGGGATCGGCCTCCTTGAGGGGATCGTCCTCCTAGAGGGGATCGTCCTCCTAGAGGGGATCGTCCTCCAAAACGGGATCGGCCTCCTAGAGGGGATCGTCCTGGTAGATGGGATCGTCCTCCTAGAGGGGATTGGTCTCCTAGAGGGGACATCCTCCTAGAGGGGATCGTCCTCCAAAACGGGATCATCCTCCTAGAGGGGATCGGCCTCCTAGAGGGGATCGTCCTCCTAGAGGAGATCGTCTTCCAAAACGGGATCATCCTCCTAGAGGGGATCGGCCTCCTACAGGGGATCGTCCTCCTAGAGGGGATCGTCCTCCAAAACGGGATCATCCTCCTAGAGGAGATCGGCCTCCCAAACGGGATCGGCCTCTTAGAGGGGATCGTCCTGGTAGAGGGGATAGTCCTCCTAGAAGGGATCGTCCTCCTAGAAGGGATCGTCATCCTAGAAGGGATCGTCCTCCTAGAAGGGATCGTCCTCCTAGAAGGGATCGTCCTCCAAAACGGGATCATCCTCCTAGAGGGGATTGGTCTCCTAGAGGGGATCGTCCTCCAAAACGGGAGCATCCTCCTAGAAGGGATCGTCCTTCTAGAGGGGATCGTCCTCCCAAACGGGATCGTCCTCCTAGAGAAATGATCAAGGATTCTCATGCGTCCATCAGGCAGGGCGGCCGGCTACCGACCCGGCAAATGTTTTCTGACGAGCCAGCAACTGTAATCGCCTTACCTAAATCACTAACATCAGCTGGTAATGGCCCGCCATTGCAGCCTTAGCAGTTATTTTCTACATCCTTATTTTCAATTCGAGCTGTATTTATTTTCAATTCGAGCTTATTTTCAATTCGTTGCCGCTATGTAGAATTTTTTTAAAACAAACAAATTAATATTCTGACTAAAAATAGTTTAGACCTTCAACAGTCTTGAGACTCTTTAAAACACGTAAAAACACAGCGTCTTAAAATTACTAAAATCTTTCGTTACTGTCATTTCAAGATCAAAGTTGACTGTAAATCAGGAAAAAGAAATTCAGACTAGAAATTAGATATTTAAAATATTATTCTTTTACGAAACAATTGCTTCCATTTTGCTCAAAAGTTAGAAACAACTATACAGTACAAATTTCATCAATCTATTGTAGTAGGTTCACGAATTATCAGGCTCCAAGAAATCATTATATATTAACATTACACGGTTAATAAATTGTGAAGTGTTTTTTCTACATTGAAACATCAGTCGAGAGCCAAATTTCCTAATTTCGGTATAATATATCAGTCAACAAATATCCTGCAGGTTGCTAAGTCCCACGGTGCACAACTCAAATACCACTATGCCTTGTAAAACAGATTAAATTTTTGAGCGAAATAAAAAATTCGAGTTCCTCTGATTTGGGATAAATTTCCGAGTCTGGAATTCGTCGATTTGTGACATCAGTCATGCATTTCGAGGCTGACTGAATTTCGAGCATCAAGTGCAAATTGAAAGGTCGTTTGATGGCCCTCGATGCGACTCCTTGAATGAGGCAGCGTGGAAGAAGAAAGAAGTGATGAGTTGAGGCAACGGTCGCAGGAATGAATAAATAACGATCCAAATTATAGCGAAAGAAAGAGATTGCATGCAAGATTTTTACCGTTCGGGTATTTCAGTTTCAATTTATCAAGGAATTTACAATTCTGGTATTGAAACTTTAAGTTTAATTTGTTAATTTATTTTTTTTTATTTTTTGAGGAAAAATTTCTTTTTGCATTTGCATCATCCTTGAAACATTTGAAACCGAATTTTAATTGTTCTTTCATATGAAATTGGGATTAATCAATAGTAACCTGTAAAATTTTGTTTAAATTTTCTAGACATTTCTGAACCGTGGGCTTTCAATAGAACACTGCCTATTTTTTCTAATTTGCAAGTCCGGACTATGTTGTCTAAGGCCAAAAAATTCTTAATGAAACAATTCAATCGTTATACTTCATATTACAATTCTGCTTTGAAATCGTCTAGACTAAATGGTCACAATGTATGGCCCACAATGAAGGTTTATTTTTATTTTTAACAATTGAATGTATGACACACTAAGAAATAGGGGAGATGTAGTTGCACCGACTTAATTTGAGTGCACTAGCATTCTCAATGCGCGGTCGTTTGTACACAATGGCTGCTCATGGATTTAATGTTATGCATCAAGTCGCGCTAAAAGGTTCAAAAATAGAAAATCTTTTCATAGTTATACAAGTTCTTAATAAGCTTTTATTTAAATCCTGCTATCGCCGATTATAGCAAATATTGATTCCTTCATATTAAAAATATCGAACGAAAAAAATTAAAAACGACTCAACATGACAATAAAATACTTCAAGGCAGAGAAAAACGTCCCAAAGGACACAAAAATAAAATGATAAAGTCAGCGTCCGCAAAAACGGTCCAACTTTTGACCGATAATTGGAAATGTTTGGAGTCCGAGGAAAGTATGGTTCTTTGCAGCCAGATTGCCTCAGCCAAAACGACTTGTTGCCATCTAACATTCTGTAAGAAAATCAATTTCTTCGACAACAGTTAGAAACTTATGGCAGTTCGGACATCTCAAATATAAAATATTGCCAGTATATTTGAGGACAATATATAGGTTGTGAAATTATTATCAACGAGAAAATACTGGAATATAAAGCTCTTTGATTTGTTGGAGCAGATGACTTAAAAATTATAGCTATTAGGGAGACATTCAATTGTTGATATATATTTTTTGCTGCTCAACATTTCAAAACCAAAGCCAATAACGGCACAGCAGATAATGGAGACCTGAGGCTAAAAAGCATCAAAAATGAGCTATCCTCTCATTTACACGAATGTAACCGACGCAAAAATCCAATTAATGAAATTTCTAGACCTTCATGTGAGTGCTAAAACTATCATGCGGGACTATGAAAACCTAAAAATATGCATTGCACGAAACATTCTTATCACAAAGAACGCGAGAACTGCAGTGAGATGTCCTGGATAAGCTAATTGATTATCTTTATTATTATGTACACACAGTAGTATAATGCAACACTGTACACACAGTAGTATAATGCAACACTGAAGGACAGTATAGCGCACGACAAGTCGACTACTAGGTATCTTTGATTGCTTAACTGAATCACCATTGAGAAGTTTTTTCAGTTGTTGTTAACTTATTATTATGATATTGATTTCTCGAACGATCACCAGGTCGGTTGCTTAGTTAAAATAAATTTAACACAATTCAACGTGTCTCAGGCGTCATCTAGCGCAGCAGCAGCTGGGTTAATTAACCAGCGAGTTGTTTACAGCATCGAAGTCTCAAGCCTCCAGACAAAGTCCCTAGTTCAAGTCAGTTTCAAGTTCCAATAACTCGTTTGAATTCGTGAAGTTCCGTACCGATATTAGATCACAGCCCTGATAGAACTGTACTAAACTCGGGAGAACTTCCGAAGTTAAGAACTGGTTAAGATTTATTTGTCAATCAGCGTTCGCCGATATTGACCAGCCCGAATTCTCGAGAAATTCCATCCACAAGTCAGACCGGAGTTGATCATAGTTGCTACGAAGTCTTGAACGGAGTTTATGCAACGTTGGGTAGGCTTTACATCTGAATTTTCGCTTCGTCGGTCGTAGAAATCGGAAATTTTCCATTGCCCCCAATTTCCCACTAAAAAATATCAATTTTATAAAGCATGGACTCTTTAACGCTTATCATAAGTATGAAGTCAAGCACCATGTAAAAAATTCTTCCCAGAAAAATTGATTTTTCTTTGTATTTACTCAATTTTATTCCAATTGTAAAGAGCGATATAACCAAATCAAAAGATATCTCTCAGACTAGCACTGGCTGACATTTGAAAACAATGAGGAAAACCTGCACTCATTTCGAGTTAATTTAAACTTTTTGATTAAAATTCCCTTGCTCCCATCAAGTGAAAGGTACATTTGTCATAAGTTGTATCTTTCCCGCTGAAGTTAAATGATGAAATAAAAAACTCGACCCGAAATATTTTAAAGAATCAAGGGGTAATGTAAAAGCGGCAATTTACACTTGCATTCTACGACCGCTTCACATTTAATTCCAGATAATCTCGGCTCTAAAATCCGTACAATTTATCCCTGTAAACTTATGATTACATTTAAATTGTGTCAATCCCAATTTTTATATTGCTCATTTATATATTTGAAAATATTCAGCAGCGAGGAAAACTTACTAATGTTACACAATTTTTTTTATATCATTGTTTTGTTGAATTAATTCAAAAAGTATTCCTGTCGAACGTATTCACCACAACATCGGCGGCCACACAGTAATTGGACTACAAAATATATGACTTGTTTACAATCGTATAATACTTTTTTATAGTGGTAACGCATTCGACTGATAGGTGAAGATAGGTGAAGAATGTAGTAAGTTGTTCAGCGATGTATTGTAGTGAGATTTCTAGTAATGCAGTGTAGCAAGATTCCTATCAAAACATTGTGGCATTGTTTCTAGAAATGAATATTGTTTCCAGCAATGCAGTGTAGCAAGGTTTCCAGCAATACAGTGTAGCAAGGTTCCCAGCAATACAGTGTAGCAAGGTTTCCAGCAATACAGTGTAGCAAGGTTTCCAGCAATACAGTGTAGCAAGGATTCCAGCAATACAGTGTAGCAAGGATTCCAGCAATGCAGTGTAGCAAGGTTTCCAGCAATACAGTGTAGCAAGGTTTCCAGCAATACAGTGTAGCAAGGATTCCAGCAATGCAGTGTAGCAAGGATTCCAGCAATGCAGTGTAGCAAGGATTCCAGCAATACAGTGTAGCAAGGATTCCAGCAATGCAGTGTAGCAAGGATTCCAGCAATGCAGTATAGCAAGGTTTCCAGCAATACAGTGTAGCAAGGTTTCCCACATTACAGTGTAGCAAGGTTTCCAGCAATGCAGTGTAGCAATGTTTCCTGCAATTCAGTGTAGCAAGGTTTCCCACAATACAGTGTAGCAAGGTTTCCAGCAATACAGTGTAGCAAGGTTTCCAGCAATGCAGTGTAGCAAGGTTTCCAGCAATACAGTGTAGCAAGGTTTCCAGCAATACAGTGTAGCAAGGTTTCCAGCAATACAGTGTAGCAAGGTTTCCAGCAATACAGTGTA